CAAGGAGTTTTCTCCCAATCTTACCAGAACTTGTAAGGGGAAGAGGTGAACCTAGATTGAAGTCCCAAGGGAACTGGAATGGAGTCCATACACATCTTGAAGTCCTTGATAACACATAATTGCCAGTTCTGAGTCATACAGGACAAGCACAGCATGTTATAAACAGATGGCACTTGTTGGGCTACCGTATACCAGACTCTGATTGCAAGACAACTTCCCAGGTAGCCTCTGACCATCTGAGATAGCCCTCAATTCTTACTTGTAGTTCTCAAGATTAGCTAGAACATACTAGAGTAATACACTCTGAAATGAGGAAGGAGCTAGCTAACAGAGCCTACAAGCAGGACACCACTCAGTACTTCAGCCAGAAAGTTTTGTCTTTCCAGGGCCTCACACCTATGACCAGATGTTCAGTCTCTCAGGTCCAGTGCAGACAGGCCACACAGAGAAGAGATTACCTCTACCCTGGCAAACTATCCTTAGCTTTAGGTGTTCAACTCACTCTAACCTCTGTCTGCTATATCTGATTTCCCTCACTGTCTAACAGCAAGAAACAAGTCCACCTCATACCATTTGCTGTGTGGGGATTGTTCCAGTTCCTGCACACAGATATGTAACACAGCAATACAATAGTGACACTGGGAGTCAGTAACACACACACACACACACACACACACACACACACACACTTCAGTAGACAGGAAATGCCAGAACTCCCTCCAAAGAAGGACTTGTTGACCTAGATACTGAAGGCCATTTCAATCAGTATTTAGCTGTCAGATGCAGAAAGGCCCCCTGACCCAAAGTCCCATCTTTACCTGATTGACCCACATATGGTGACCCAACCAGTGGAGGCCATTTGGGCCCAATGCAAAGCAACTCAGGAGGCCATTTTAGCTTCAGAGTTCTATGTTGTCAGCCAAGGTGAAGGCCCGGTCCCTCTTCTTTTGCCCGCCTTCCATAGTTGTTTTCATACATATGATATCCCTTAGGAATATCTCTAATAAGGACCCAGGATGCTAGCTTCATGTCTGAGTCTGTCTCCTGAAAAGCCTCATAGGCAATGCAGGAAATTCCCACCCAGTCCCGTCAACTGACATGCCTTTGGGTAGCCGGGGCTTCCTGCCCAAGTATCTGAATCTTGCTGATCTGGGATTTAGAAGTTGACTTTACTGCAAGAGGCAAAGTAGGCAGGTAAGTACACTCCAGAGAGACTTGAGAGTGTGGGGATCCCGGGCAAGAGCTACACCTCTGGTGAGAGCAAACAGGGTCCTCTGTGGATGGTTCCTTGATGTGTGGAGATGACTCACAGCTGGTGATGGCACAGAAAGGAGATTCTGATATCATTCTCTCCAACTCAGCCTTGCTGTGAGCATTGTCAAAAACCTCACAGAGAATTGGGACGTCTTATCAATGATTAACCATGGAAAGAGCATCTCACAAATTAAATTTGCTTATTTTGTCCTTGAATTCTCCTCCCCTGCAAATGCCGTGTCGATTGGGATGACTTCTCCTAAGAGGTGCGGGAAGACTAATAGGCTTCCATCGTACAGTTGTTCATTTAACTCTCACTCCTGGTGGTCTTTGGAAATGTGTTTGAAGCTATTGTAATTTTTTAATTGTACTTTAATGAATTCTTGGGAGAAGAGTGTGATTAAAAAGGATATACACCTGCTGAAGAGTGAGCTAATAATACATCTTTATAAGAAAGAAGTGATCAAAGGCATCTCTGGATTATATTCATTTATCAAGTCATGGAATTAAATAAAAAAAATACATGTCAAAATACTTACAAATGATTCTAATTTAATATTAGCTAAGGCCATGAATACTGTTCCCAAATGAGCAAACTGTGTAGGAAATGAAAGTGTGCCGACGGGAATGAGAAGTCATAACTGAATAATTGAGGAGGAAAGTTCTAAAGGTGATCCCTAAAATACTTGAGTGTAGGCAGATGATGTGCGTCATTTAGCAAAAGATCTTCATCATTAATACCTGGGATTGTGTCTTACGAATGTATCTTCCAGGGCCGTGGTGGCTCACGCCTTCAATCCCAGCACTTGGGAGACGGGGCAGGCGGATCTCAGTGAGTTCAAGACCAGCCTGGTCTACAAAGTGACTGTTACACAGAGAAACCTTGTCTCAAAAGAAAAAAAAGCTTAAGTAGCTGAACTCTTCCCTACAACACACAACAGAATCGTTTAGTCCTTTGGAAGCAGAACTGTAGGGAAAGGTAACCTTTTGATACCTTTTTAATGCTTTATTCTGTGTGTCTGGTGTTTTTCCTGTGCACGTCTGTGCACCACTTGCATCTCTGGTGTCTGAGAAAACCAGAAGAGGGTGCTGGGTCCTTTGGAGCTAGGGCAATCAGCAGTTGTGATCCCCCATGTTGGGTGCTGGGAATCCAGCCCAGGCCCTCTGGAAGGGTACTCAGTGCCCTTAACCACTGAACCGTCTCTCCAGCCCCTGGGATAATTTCAAAGCTCTATTAACATGTCATCTTTAAGAGCCAAAATCAAAATTTAAAGCTCATGTATCAACTCTCACTATTAAGGACTTAGGTTTGGATGTTTTTGGGTTTTTTGTTTTGTTTTGTTTTGTTTTGTTTTGTTTCTTCTTGTAGGGGAGTTGGCTTGGAGCAGAATTGAGTTTCCATGGGAACCCAGGGGTTTAAATCAATAAGAAGCCCTGAAACCCCAAGCAGCCAGAAACCCCATGCACACCAGGGCAAGGCTGGTCTACATATGCATCAGGAAGACAGATTGGGCTGTAAATTGACCCAGTCAATGGTGAAGAAAAAGATAGCCCAAAACAAATGATGCCCCATGGAGATCATTCATTCTGTCAATTTTACTGGCTAATAGGCCTCTATTAAGGTTTGATATATGAAGGAACTGGGCTTATTGGTACAGTTAATCAATCCTGAAAGCTATGGCCAATGTCAGCTTCAGAGTACAGATCTACCTAGGAAGACCATTTCCTTGCCTGCACTTGACATTGCAAAATAGATGTGTGACATTCCAGACATATCAGATGCAATGTGCTTTGGGAGTTTGAGAGATAGGCCTCTGAGGCTCTGAGGAGCAGCATCTTGTGCAGGCCTCAGGCACAGCTCACCTGAGTTCCAGGCATCGGTGGTGCCAATTACTCAGTTACACTCAGCAGATCACTGTCCAAGCTCCAGTGAATAAATTTATTCCAGAGAATAAATGAATTCAGATCAGCCACTTGTTCCTATCTCACAGAACCCCACGCCCAGAAAATGTGACCCATGTCATTCAAAACATGGTTCTACACTATTCTTGAAGATCAGTATCCCATACTGCGCTAGCCACTGCTTCATGCTAGGGAGTTTCTGGGTGTTTAAAGGTCATTGCCATCTCTTCATTTTCTAACTTCATCTAGTGTCCTGTGAGAAAGACACTTTGAAAATTCTTCTCATAGAAATATATATTAGCTGCCATGTCCACAGCAGCTTTGTGGATTAAATAAGAAAATATTCTTTACACAGTAAAGATCTTTTAATGTTCCAGAGTTGTTTGCATCAAAACCACATGTTGTATCCTCATCCCTAAGCCCCCTTGGGCATTGTTCTGCAGGTTCTTGGTCTGTCTTCATTTCTGACAATTGCTGACATGACAAAAAGTCATCTTCAGGAAGCAGACAATGTTCCTGAGGGGCTGGGTTTCTGTGTCATTAAAAAGTACGAACAGGAGCCAGAAATATGACACACTGCTCTTGCAGAGGACCCAGGTTCTATTCCCAGCACCCACACGAGGCTGCTCACAACTCCCTGTAACTCAAGCTCCAGGTGATCTGGTGCTTCTTCTACCCTCTGTGGGCAAACACACACACACACACACACACACACACACACACACACACACACACATACACACAACTCTTTTTTTAAGTATGAACTGAGAGTAAAGTATCATTCATTGCTAAGAGCAGGTCTTGACGAGTCCCTTCATTAGAAAAGGTCACCTTCTTGACTTGTGTATTTTATGAGATGAGAAGTCTCTTTACTTAGCTGTACAGAATAGTCTGTTATTTATTAAATGGACCATTATAGAATTACCAGTCAGTGGTGTCGATTACTTTTAGTCTCCTGTGAAACGATTTCCCTAAGTTAAAGATGCATAAACAGAGGTCTGTGCGTGGGTGGAAGCTAGATGTGAGAAGGCTTTGGGGATGAACTACTGCTCGCAATAACCCTAAGAGAAAGGTTGTAACGAGGATTACACTGTGGGATGCACTCTGGAATAACCGAACAAAGCAGGTTAAATCTAAAGCAGGTAGTTGTCCAAACAGTATGTGTTTGCAGGCAATTGGGATTGAACTCAGAAAGTGCACATCCTTTATCTCAGGTGCAAAAAAAGGGGGGGAGGGGGCAACCTGAGCAGGGATGGGCCAGCGGCTGGCACTAGGTCCCAGGAGCAATGGGTAGGATAGACTGAACAGGGTACCAGGCATGGTCTTGGATCTAGATCAGTGTGAGCAAAACCCTAGGTGCAGGCCCTCCCCTCAGACTAATCTTACTGGCTGCACCCTCTCCAGGCTCACATGTGTGTCCCAGAGGGGTTTCAGCCTAGTGGGAGGCAGTGAAGAGACCCCACTCTTCACATCTCACCAAAGCCCACAGAGAAGCTCCTACAACAAGCCGGGCATCACCCATGCTGGAGTTTAGGACTTATCAGTGACATGAGGGGACAGGTGCCCCTGGGGATCTAAGCCCCAAAGGCTCCCCCCAGCACTAGGCACCCACATTTACAGGTTCAATTTGGAAGGGAACGGCGCCCGCCCGTTTTCGCGCCTTCCCGAGTCCATCGTGGGTTAAAAGAAAGGCTGGGCGAAGGGTGGGCGGCTGGGGTAGGCTCCATCTCTGGGCCCCCCCACCGCCGCTGACTCTCCTGCGATGCTGATGCACGCCTGCCGCTGTGTCGCCTTGGTTCTCCAGCGTGCGGCGCTGTGCCCGCTTTTATCCCGAGAGGAGAAGCGTCGCTTAGTGCGCTGACAGCGCGCTTCAGTCGTTGGGGCTGAAGCCCAGTAGCATTCATTCAATCTGCGGCTTTCATGAAGTCTCCCTACGAGGTCCTTCACTTTGCTCCTAAACGTGGATTTTTTTCCCCCTACCATTCTAGGCTCGCTCCCCCTCCTCGCCACCGGACTCCCTCCTCCGTCCCTGCCCACACGCACACTCCTCTGCCCCGCGGTGGCCCCAGCGCCCAGCCCTCCAGCCAGAGGGAGCCAGTCACCAGACGGCAGCACCTGGCTGGAGAGGTTGGGCGGGCCGAGGGTGGGGATCCGCGGGAACCGGCGAGCCCGGACCTGGAGCAGAAGCTGGACCGACCGCGATCAGAAGAATGGAGTCTCCCGACAGCCTGCCGAGGCTGATGTGAAATAGGACCATCTGCTTCCAGTTGGTCTGTTTCCTCTTCTTTTTGTATTTTCTTCCCTCGCCATTCACAGTGGAGTGAATTATTAAATCTTGCTCCGTTCCAAGAGAGGCAGGCGATCACGATGGAGTGAACCCACCCAGTCCGCCACAAGGTAAGCAGTGCGCTAAGTTGCTGGAAGGCTAGGAGCTGGCATGGATCCCAGCCAGATGTTCCGCGTCCTAGGATCCCCGAGCCTTTGGGTCCTGGCTCCCAGGTCCCCAGCCCCACTGTGGCTGCGTGCATTCCCCACTCTGAGGAGACATGATGCTGAAGTCCACCAGAGGCAGGAAAAGCTAGTTACATAACCTAAAGGAAATGTGTCTCATGGGTTTTCATTAGCAGCTTAAAAACTCGCCTGGGGGGCGGCGGGAGGAGGGGTCTGCCTGCCCTGGGCGCGAGAGAATGGGTCAGTTACTATGGACCTCATTTCAGCACCTCTGGTGAAGACCAAACACACTGATGATCGGCAGGCAGGCGCGGCTGGCGGGTGTAGGCAGGGAGAGTTAGGAAAAGCCCATTGTCTTGGTGGAAGGCTGTAGCCTTGCTCTGTTTTGGCATAAAGAGGAGAGGATGCGAAGGAGGAAAAGTGAGGAGAAGGGAGGAATAAGCCATGAGACAGGGGAGGACTCCACATGGTTTCCATCAATAAACCCGGGATGTAGCATACTGATTGAAGACACCAACTAAGAAGATGTCTCCACAAGTAAACTAACTGAAAGGAGGGAGCACCTCTGATCAAACGAGGTGTTTATGGCATTTAGGGGGCTGGGTGAATCTTACTGGCTTAGCTGGGTATGTATTCATTTGCATCAAGACGTTAAGCTTGGGTTAGTTTTTTAACTGAAATGGCATTTGTATTCTCCAAGCCTAATGAAGCCCTGGGTGGATCCACAGGTATATACAGGGCTCAATATGGAAAGACTCTTAAGGGGAAAACAAATCTTCATAGAAACGATCACAGAAGCCAGGTGAGCTTAGTGGGAAAGGGGATAACACAATTTTTCAAAGAATCCCTTCTCCACCTCTACTCCCCCCCCCAAAAAAAAAACACACACACACACAAAAAAAGAGGGGAACCCCTTCAGTGTCTGGGAGTTGGCAATCCATTGCATCTTTAAGGCACCCCCGACTGCTTTATCCAAAGTCTCGGGGTCCTGGGGAGCACACAGGTACCTAGCACTGTGCCACTTTTCTGCAAGCACTGTGCCCTGGCTACCTTTCTCTTTTGCTGAAAAACAGAGAAGGGGAATACCGAAGAAAGTGGGCTTCCTACCATCAGGGCTGAGCTAACTAAGCTTCGCCCATTTTGCCTGGAGAAGGAAGGAGCCGAGTCTCCATGACGACCCGGATGGGAGGGGACAGAGCAGCTCCAGTGACAGGAAAACCGTTGGACAAAACTTTCTTGGCTCCAGGCAAAGAAATGCCCACCGTGTGCCCTATTGGGGAGGGTCCTAGGGCATCACCTGGGCCCAGCTCCCTAGGGGTGACCCGTGAGAGGGTGCTAAGACCAGGCTCTCCTCCCACACAGCAGAAGTTTCCCATGTCCACGAATGCAGTTCTGAGCAAGCTCCCGGTTCAGCACCAAGGCCAGAGCAAGGTGCAGGCGGGTTCATCTCCCTAGTAGGATGACGGGCAATTGAGCTAGCAAGCTCTAGAGATTTTTGGTTTTAGGAAGGCAATCATGTCCTAAAAAATTACCTGCTTGTGCTGAAAACGGGTGTCAGATTACCCATGGAATTACGTGGCACACAGGAGACAGCAAATCAACCGTTCCATGCATGATGGTGCACCAAAGTAACCGTTCAAAATAAAAAACACTGGAACTACAAAAGACTAAAGCTGACCTAAGAATGGAGAAAAGATCCCTCCTCAGGGAAGGGAAACACTACACACACACACACACACACACACACACACACACACACACACACACAC